ATGTACCGAATATGTGCACATGAAATACAGACTGTTATATGAGAAAGTACGCCGTTAATATACTTAGTTAATGAAATAAACTTTTATCGGTTGATTTGTAGTATTTTTATTGTTTGTTGGTTTATTTATTTTTGCAATACCACGCTTTAAACTATTCCTCTAAGAAAGTGTACTGTCGGAGGAATTAGTAGTATTTTTAATATTTTTTCTGGTAGTTATTGATTTTTTTAGTAAGAATTATGAAAAAAAAGTATATTATTTAAATACTCGAAAGGAAAATAATACGTATTCATACTTTATAAAATTTGCTAAGAAATAAAGATGTGGAAAATGTGAATGAGGTATGTTAAATAGGACAATGTACGTTCGCTACTCGCCGCTTTTCTCTGTCACAAGAACATAAAAGAGGATCGAAACATGCATGTTCAAAAGCGGCTTTGAGAATCAACGCGCGAAACAAGAGAATTTTCTTCTATTCAAGTTCCGTCGATTTCTAAAAGTGGCGAGAAACAGCCGTGAAACTAACTTTGAAACGGAAACGAAACAACAAAGTAGCCCTGGAGAATTATCCTCGGTCAAAAAAAAAAAGAAAAAAGGACCGATGCACTTTTCGATACTATAACCAAAATATAATTTTCATTTGAATTCCATTTTGAATATCCTTTCAACAAGTAATCTTAATAATAAATATTTATTAATAATGCTAACAATAATAATAGAAAAAATTATAACAATACTTATCGATTAATACCAATAATGAGTGAAAATAGAGAGTAATAGTTTAATAGAAAAACATAAACACTATGTTAATTTAATATAAAAAAGTTTTTGAGATTGACAACAATGAACGTAATATATCTGAAAAATGTCTTGATCATATGTTAATAATAATCTTATTAATAATTTTTCTTGTATTAATATAGCATATTTTCAAGATTGTGTATATTTCTAACTAGTAATTCGTTTATTTTTAATTAATAATAAATAAAGAAAATAACATAACAATATACTACGAATTCCCATTCATCGAATATCGTTCACAGTTACATCAAAATCATTGGAAATCATTAAATCAGAATTTGCTAAAACTCACAGAATTTTGCGGACTGTAAGTAGTTAAGATATCTGGATTATAAATAATCAATTATCTTTCAATTCCAATTGATATTATATAATATTAAAATATCTGACATAGACGATATACATTAAGCGCGCGCAACGTACATTGAAGCTCAAATATTATAATATAAATCTAAATATTATAATATAATATAATATAAATATAAATCAGACAAAAATATAATTCAACTTTGTGAATTAACTGACTCACTGAAAATTCATTGTTTTAGCAGAGTATTATTTAAAAGATAACGCTCGTTTTAACTCGATATAATTAATCGCATAAAGTGTTTATTGAACTACATTCCTGCAAGGGATATTACGCAGCTTCAAACTTTGATTGAACTCGTATTGGCTATAAACTTTGTAAAATTAGTGATACATTAGTGATCAATCAAGTGTTGTTGCCGTACTTAGATGGCATTTAACTTGAGTAATATTTATGTTATACAATTTTATAATCTTCCTACTACACTGTTTTTTGTATTTAATAAATAGAATATTAATCAATACAATATTATTATCATATAGTTCTCATTACTGTCATAAATTTTTTCTATAATTGTTATAAGTTTTACGATGTTTTTTAATTTTACGTACGCCTGGATGATATCCGTAAATTTTTATTTTAATACCACGCTCATGGAGACTCGATTTCGCACATATTCGAGGAATAAAATTGAGCACGTTTAAAATAACGTCTCACACACGTCGTATCGAAAAACAAAGTTAGATATATGTGCGAGAAAGTGATTTCAGCCTCGTGTGGCCACTTCAACCCTGCTTCGCTTGAGCACAAACGTCCACACGAAACTGAAATTACTTTCTCGCATTAGTATCGAAATGTACTAAATTATAGGAGATGTCATAAAATTGTTTTCAACACTCCACGCGTGGAGATTCGACTTTACGCATGCTCAAGAAATCGAGCACGTATAAAATCTCATCCCACACACGTTTCGAAATAGTACATTTCAACACGTTGTACGAAAGGTACAATTTTCCCGTACGTACGTTTCCACACGTTAATGGAAACAAAACAGTACCTAATATATTCGGGAAAAAGATTCTCGTTTCATGTGTTTTTCCATTCCCGATTTGCTTAGATGCAAACGTCACGTCAACAAAAATTTTGTATTTAAAAAAAAATCGTTGGAAAAGCTTTGTTCACTTTTTATAACCATTTTTCGTGCTTGAAAACTTTAGATTTTACCATTATATGGTTGAATCTCATTGTTTCTGCTAGAACTATTTTTTCTAAATATAATTTACAGAGTTCCTCTATATATTTATATCTAAAATCTTCATCTATTTTTATCTAAAGAAACGATAAACGAATACTGTCTCCTTTTTTGCAAAGAACATTTCCCATGGCAACTGGCAACGCGCTTATGGATCTTTTTTAAATGTTTAGACGCAATATGAAAATAGATACTACGTAACTATGTATTGTTTATTTTACTTTTATATTTTCAAACACTGACTATTGATTGAAGGTGGTTGATAAATGCTCTATCGGGGAGTGTCCACATGGGATTCCTCTTCCTTCCCGACCCCGAGGCTATCCCCGTCCGAGTTTTTGTATGCGCACGCCATCTCTATAATTTCCAGTTCATAGATTAAGATACGTATCTCACATTCATTATGAAACTTACCGCTGAGCTCGAAGTTTTAGAGATGGTGTGTGCATATAAAATCTCGGACGGGGTCGGTCCCAGAGTCAGGAAGGAAGAGGCATCCCGTGTGGCGATACTCCCTTGCGAATCAACTCATGTTTTAAACTAGTTATTTACTTTACCGGTCTATGATAAATTACTATGACTAACCACAGAGGCTCCATTTTATTGGCAACCGTTAAGATTGAAAATGAAAAAATCGTTTAATGATAATAATCGAAAAGTATTTAAAATTAGTATCGAGCATTGAAAAATATTTATATAGTAATTCCAGCATTCATTATATGCATTGCACTATCAGTATTTTACGATACATTATACATTTCTAAAAATTGCATTTCTCTTACATATAAATAATGTAGAATTTATTATATGGACTAAAAGCTATAATCACGTACTGCATACAATTGTTGTGTTCTATATATTATGAAACTGGCATATTAAAAATATGTATACTTATATTTTATAGTATTTTAGTTCATTCCTACGAAAGACATTACTGAACTGATAGAATGAATTGATTTTTAATGTCATAATATATTTTCACTACCATAATGAGCTTTTTATTTAAAAGAGCATGACGAAGCAAAGAATAGTGCTTGCATGTGATCGGCCCTTATTACCTTTGCTTGTTCTTACAAGTAGACTGGCAAACAATAATTTATTACATCCAAACTTACCAAAGCTCATTTTAAAGGTATCCGTAAGAGCGCTACAAAAATATTTTATATATATGACTAAATGTACGTATCACGTGAAATTAAAATGTGTAAAATTGTTCACATATATTTATTGTTCTTACCTTCATTCATTACGATCTATCAATTTTTCAAAAAGTGAGGAAAACTTTATAGCTTTGAGCTTTTCTGAAAGAAACTTTTTGCAATATATTTTTCTTTTTATATAAGCAATACTCGGTAAACAACACCATCAAAAATAATCTCGAAAATAATAATAATAATTATTATTATTATTTTGTTATTGAGTAACGATTGATGTAAAATTACGTGGATTAGTTTAATAATGTGCAGTGCAAACTTTTGGAAATGTATGATTCTTTAATGATAATACAATAGAGAATTACAACTACCGTAACGTAAAAAAAATCAGGAAATGTCAAATCTGGTCAACTTACTTTACTATCCTCTAAATAGATTTCTAAAAAAATCTATTGCCAAATTAAACTTTTGTTTGATAAATTGCAAGTCGTCATGATTAATCGTTATCATATAGTAATAACTGCAAAAGTGTAGATTATATAAAACACAAATGGCATAATTAACATTGATTAAAATATTACTTTATTCAGCTGTATGAAAACTTAATAAAATAAAACGAAAGCAAATAATGGAAGAAATAATTGAAAAAATGAAACATGATCTAATTTTTAATATTATATTTAAAAAAGTACAAGACAGAGTTCTAGTTTATTCCTACTGATTCATGATTTTTATGTTGGAAAGCATAAATATCGTAAAATACTATGCAAAAATAAAAATATCTTTTGGTAAACTACATATAAGCTGTCTAATATGTGCAATATATACGAGGGAGCTACGATTGTAAAATCATATAAGATACTATGAACCTGTAATAAAGTAGATGAACATAGAGCTCATACCACCACCATCAATATTTTTCACGCATGTTTACAAGAACTAGTCTGCTCAAGAGCTTATGACAAAAATGAAAAAGAGAAACTACTTAAGTATTTCATAAAATTTAGTGAAACAAAGTTTGTAATATTTCATAGAAATGTGTTTAAATTTATATTTTTGGGAAAGTTTGATTATTTAAGAAAATGTATGCTAGTTAACGAATATTAGATAACATTTTGATAAATTAATATATACTCATACATACACCCAAGGAAAGAAATATTTATTAAGCGCTGGGGTTAAATGATATAGGAATAAATGAAAACTGCATACTTAATGAAAAAATATTGGTCTACTATACTTAAAATCACAGTAACAGTATAACTATTGCAGTTTTACAAATAGATAAAGAAAATTAAAGTGTGCAGGCATGTATAGGCGTGAGAGAGGGGCAACGCGAAAGAGAGGGTGAGAGAATGAGAGACAGAGAAACAGACAGGCAGAGGGAGGTAAGAGGAGGAGAGTGGAAACGAAAGTGAAGGTGGCGCACACGTCGACCAGGGTCGGAAAAAGCGGGAGCATGCGGAGTGCCGAGGGTGGCTAGATCGTAGTAACCACCTCCCGCGGGCAGCGAGCGTTTACGGCAGTCTCAGTCCGCGCCCTGAACGCAATCAGAGCGACATAGTGCATCTACGCTTTGTTGCGCATGTACCTACTCTCGATCATTTCACTTATTTTCTTATTTCACGACTTTTCTTTCTCATTTATACAACTTTTTCTTTTTATACGCACTCTACCAAATTACATCGTGATTTGAATAATAGTTTGTGCCCACCGTCTAACTTTCAAACTATTGCTTGGATGAAAAAAACCGCTACAAATTTATTAACAAATGACGTTTATTAGAACCAATGTGTAAGTATAATTATTAAATAAAAATCACAACACAGCACACATTAAAAAATACATCAAATTTTAATTTAGTCTATGTTTACTTGTCAATTGATTCACAAGATATATAGATCAATTGTTATGCTATATAGATCAATTGTTTAAATAAGGATTTAATGATTTCTTCGTTTGAGGAAAATTTTAACACTGGTTTGTAGAAAACAGTTAGATGGAAAAGTGGCGTTCACCTATTATATTCATTCATGATTAATCCACAGTTTTTAAATGAAGATGTTGATTTTTAAAGATTGATGAGACCTCACAAAAAATAGAGCCCATTCGAGTTCGTTTTCTTTATCATGCTAAAACACTGAGGTAGAGTGTTTTGATATTTATAGCAACCACGGTTGTGTACATAAACGTATTTTTCAAAATTTAATGCACTGAACGCCAACACGTAAAGATCAGATATCTTATATGAATAGAAAGTGTAAATATTAACGACAGATCATATCTTAAATAAACAATTTATTGAAAATCACAGTTTATATCAGATCAAAGAAAATTTTAAGTCAATGATTAAACTAAATATATGTTGTATAAGATACAAGTTTTTATGTGAATTATCATTGTATATGACGGGGAAGACTTTTCTAACATCTAAATAGGATAACTATGATAATGTATGTATTTTTTTTGCTTTAATATAAGCTACGCTGTTTATTAGTATGTTTCAACCATTAATCCATAAATGCTCACATGACGGTCTTTCGAGAACTGAGTTCTAATTATTACCACGTAATAAATTTGAACGAAAAATATCCAGGAACCACTGTTCCTTATGTTTTCAAGGGTGCTCTTTCCAATGACGTTATTAAAGGTCTCGGCAATAAAGTTTTGTCAGCGAAAAATAAATAAAATAAGCTTCATTCTTCGATTTTTTTTTCAAATAGACTTTTTGATCCCATAACAGTTTTTTCTATGACTAAACTCTCTTTAAATCGTGGCCTCGATGTGTAAAATAAATGTTAGTAAGATTACCCGAACATGAAAATTTATTATCTAAACAAGATAGCGGCTAATATGAAATTATTTTGTGGAAATCATACGAATTTTTTCCTTGAAAACTATAGAGCTTTATAGAAATTTTCTAAGAACAAAATTATCTTAAAATTGATTAAAGGAATACCTGCAGTTTTTATTAGAATGGTCCGAGAAAATTTTTGAATTTTTGAAATCAGGGATTCATAAATTCTCAAATTGTAACAAAAAATTCAAAAATAATTCTAGGATACTCTTTAACTAATTCTAAGACATTTTTGTTTTCAGAAAAAATGTTGTAAAATAGTTTTCGAGCAAAAAATTTACGTTGAGTAAACCTTAAGAATTTTTTGCACGAAAACTATATATTTTATAACAAATCTTTTAAGAACAAAATGTCTTGGATTTAGTCAAAAAGTATCCTAGAATTATTATTATTAACAATTTTATTAGAATTATTACTAGATTCAATTTTAGAATTTTCGAAACCCTGACTTTTCGAAAATTCAAAAAGTTTCGTGGACCATTTAAAAAAAAATTAAACGTATTCTTTGATCAATTTTAAGATAATATTGTTCTTAGGAAATTTCTACAAAAATCTATAGTTTTCAAGGAAAAAATTCCTAAATTTTACAAAACAATATTTTCATATCAGCCATCATTTTGTTTAAATAATAAACTTTCATGTTCGGGCAATCTTACTAGTATTTATTTTAGATATCGTGACCGCGATATAAAGAGGTTTTCGGTATCTAAAAAAATGTTATAGAATTAAAAAGTCTATTTGAAAAAAAATTATGCTTTTTTTTATTTTTGATTTTACGCTGGTAAAAATTTCTTGCAGAAATTTTCGATCAATACTATTAGAAAAGGTACCTTCGAAAATATAAGGAACAGTGGTTCCTGAATTTTTTTCGTTCAAATTCATACGTGGTAATAATTTAAACTTAGCTCTCGAAAAACCGTCTTGTGAGGGGTAATGGGTTAAGGTCCAAACTAAAACTGGGGCAGTTATCGAATCAACTACTTTACTCACTAAATAATATAAAAATAATACTCCAGCATATTTGCTTTTGTAATTTGCAAGAAAATATTATTCAATTAAACCACGATAAAAATTATTATTTTTGAATTCTAATTATATGAGCCGATTCTACTAAATGAAATAGAAACATTGAAATTTTCAAAATAACGATATGTAAATGTAACTGTATATTAACAAATTCGACAATAAAAACAGCAAAATGTTATCTACAATTTTTTCATAATTTCGTAGAATTGATCGGTGTAATTAATTTGTAAAAAGTTATAAACTTCGACGTGATTTGTTCAAAGAATATTTTTTTATAAGTGATTGTAAATTACAGAAGAAAAACAAGTATTTTATTATTTCATTAGGCACTATATACATGAAATTATTAGAAATTTTACCTATTTTTTGCGTTGGTCTTAATATGGGCATATACGCATATGTATAGATTTTACAAGCGGTATCGGAACAAACGTCTACTGCGGTTGAAAAGCCTTTTCTTAAGATGGATATATTGAATAAATCGAAAAAGTCGATCAGGAATATCCATGTTGACTTTAAATTTGACACAAGTACGAGCTGGAACGAGAAAGCCTCGAGAACCTGATGAGTAAGACGGCGTAGCTAAAGTGAACGGATCATAAAAAAACATTCGCACATTCGATACAATTTATGAAATTTTAAGCAAAATATTGCAAATAAGATGACGTAAAAATATGTGCGATAACAATTGACATCTTACTGTAGCTATAAACAGAAAAGATAAGTCGGCTTGATGAAGGAAGTCTATCGTATAATTTAAATATTCATCGTCTTTGTACTAGCTTCATCTGACTATACTAGTAAACTATATCATCACGGCTTCTTTCGCCTCCTTTCGCCTCTAGTCAGCACTTCGTTGTCCGTTTTGAAGCCCCGCGAGTGAATACCAGATTTTTCACTCCGTTTATCGAACGCCAAGTTGAGTGTTTTAATCCACAAACAATGGCTTCTATACATGCTGTCTTCTCAACTCGTTAGCGCATTTATGGTGAAACGCGCATCTACAGCAGAACTTCTTATCCACGTGTAAATAGTATGCTATCTACGTCAATGTTAGATCAATTTTATTAAGCGTACTACTTGAAGTCTATTATGAGCTACATAATCCCACGTATGTTTGCATCATTTTATTTTTTCTAAGAGGAGTTAAATTTACTCACTTCTAAATTACTATATGTTAAATGAATTACGAATTTTCACAACACCACATAAATCTAATTTTTCTGTGCTTATACACACATACTCGCGCGCGTATGCACGCACACGCACACACGAGCCTACCCTAGGGGCTATAAAAACCTAGTATCTGGTGGAAAGGCTTAAAAGAGCTAAATTCAAGTAGCCGCGGGCAAGACTTTTACGTTGTGTAAGTGATAGGAGCTCTCGTTACTGAGTTATGGAGCCAGTTATGAGTTAGGTCCCTTGACTGCTTAGGTCAGTGTAGGCCAACAAACAGTTCAACACATGTTAGGACAATGTAGAAGAAATTACTTTAATCACAGCATAAAAGCTCATCTGTAAAATTTCCAGTTCTTTCCAAATCCGGGATAAAAAATGAGATTCACATAGAAAAAAAACAAAGTTGAACCTGAAAGGACCTTAAAAATCAAGTTCAAAGTTACAAGCAGTCATCAAAGCTCAGCAGATGTTATCCAAAACATTTTTTATATATGCTACCAAGAACGGATCATTTGGTAAAAAAGAAAAAGAAATTAAGTTTGAGGTTCACATAACCTTGATGTGATCTCCGCTCCACAGATGATTCCTTATCTGAATGACGAATCTTTCGCTCTTATGTAATCTGTGGTTGAAAATAAGGAATCCTATTAAAAAAAAACGTTGACCTTGAAATGTCCTGGAAAATTAAGTTTAAAGTCAAATTTAAGATCATCGACCTCCTCTAAATCACACAAATTTTATCTAAAACATTTTTTGAATACTTTGTAAAGTTTCAAGTTATTCTGCTACCCAAGTTAAAATGAGACACCCTTTAGATAAAAGTATGCTTATAGTTGTGCGGAATCTCTCGTGAAAAATTTATTTAATAGATAATTTCAAACGTCTTTGGAAAGATCGGATACTGTCATCCAAATTTTTATATACCGTTTTTCATAAAATGGTTTAAGATAAAAGATATTTTCACTCCCAGCTTACCCTGTTAAACTAAAAAAATTATCTTTGTGCCTACGACAAATAAGTAAACCAAAAGACATTTATAAAAATTAAACATTAGTCTATGCGAAGCGTTGTACGTTCATTTCCAGTTAAGACATATAAGTTGGAAGTTTATAAAACTATTTACTGCAAGAAATCTATATCAAAATCACCTAAAACATAACATCAGTCTATACATATTCATATGGAATTTTCAAGTGGACAGGAATGGCATTTATTTTCCTGAGTAGAAGCCGTAGCTTCCAAGTGAAGAAAAATGGCACGTAGCGGTTCGGTAGAAAAATAACTTATATAACTGTGAGCGACATCCGAAATTTCTTTCAATCAATAGTGAGATTTTTGAAAAGTTCGTTTTGAAAAATAACTTTTTTTGGTTTTTACATAGGACTTCAAAAACGATTTTCGGAAAACAAGAAAAGTACGTAACTCGTAAAATCTGAAATTAAATAATGTCCGGAAATTTTCAAAAATCGAAGATGTAAATTTTTTTGTTGACTCAAGCTAGTATCTAATAATGTAACATTTTTCGTATTAAAAAAAGATTGAGTAACATTTTACTTTTGTTTGCATTTTTTTAGATAGACACATAATTGCAAATCTATTTGTTTTCAAACGATAGGCTTCATTCTGGAATGATTATCTAAAATCATAAATTAAATTTTAAAGGTTAAGAGTAGACCTTTCAGATGGTTTTTCCCATTTTCAAAAAAAAAATTTCCGCGATATTACGAGACTTCAAATACACCAAAAAAAAAAACCGTTATTTTTGTCCCTTTAGATTAGGATATTTAAAAAACCTGGCGTGATTGACAAATTCTGACTCTAGATTTGGATTCCACGCAAAAAATTACTTTGAAAATAACCTTCAGTTGACCAACAGCAAAACCATGCAGATCTGTATAATTAAAGTGGTATGTATTGTACCACCGGGTTCATTTATCATATAGATACCGAGTCATCACTATTTAATAATATAGCAATTTTTTAATGTTATTCATTTTATATAATGCTTTATAAAAGGACATATTAAATATGCATAAATATTTATTGAATTGCAACTAAATATTGAATCATTTTTCACAACTCCGTTACATGATTCCTACAAACAAGAGAAAATTCCTTTTCTGCAGGCTGTGTAGATAATACCAGTTGACTAGCAGATTATTGTTAAGTAAATAAAAAATAAGCAACTAACATTCTATAAAAATTGCTTATTAATGTGGGATTAATTTTTACACAAAAAAATAATTTAAATTATATTGTTATATGAAGTCTAGAATTATACATTTATTTTATATAAAAAATAAAAAATCCTTGTTAAAACCTAAGCTAAATTTTATTTTAGTTTTTACTTATTTTAGAACAATGCATGTTTTCAGTCAGTATAGGAAATCACGACTGATCGTACATGGTTCACGAAAATCACCTATCTTAAGTGACTAATGAATGGACTGTAGTAAGTGCTAATTCAGTTCAACAGTACTACGCAAAACACTGTACAATACTTATGACTTAGGCATCCCACTATTGTGTCATACTGCACAAGTGTCATAACATACTATTAAAAGCATATTAAACGATTTTTTAGGCCTCAATTCAAATGCAGAAGCAGTTTGAATAATTATCTTGATTATAGAATTCTAATACAAGTGGTGTACAGATTGTTATTTATTTATTATTTGATACTCGCTCAAGTCGTATGCATAAAAATACTCTCGTAAATATCTGCCATTGAAATAAATTGTCATCAATTTTGCACATTCCAATGCAAATGCTATAATCGGTGATATTTTGAATAGTTTAAAATAGTATAGGATGCTCAGGTTTCAAATTAACGTTCAAATGGAGCATAAGCATAATTTTTACTGTGCGCTAATAAACCGTTTAGTCCCTCTATGATACAATACACTATTTCAAAGGACAGTCGTATAGCTTGCGCAAATTCTCCATAGTATTAATAGTGGTTAGATATTAAATAACCAGAAAAATTTATATTTTAGATTGTTCAAATAAAATTTATTCTGGTGTAAATAACCAACGAGCTAAATGAGTTCATTCTATTTATAACATCACTTAATGCCAAAACCTGCCCCTCATTTCGTTACGATAAAGCACGTTTAAAAGCTTTCAGTCAACCTACTTACTTTCTCGTAGAGTATTGAAAACAATTTTTTATTTTTCTTTCGCTTCAGTCCAAAACAAATTGTCAATAAAATAAAAAATTTTCTCAAGAAACGTAGGAATTATAGTTGTTCTTTAGCGAACTTAGTGAAAGAGCTTATGAAAAAATTTCACAAGCTCTTTCTATTGAAGATTCGAGTTTCGTAAACAAATGTATTACTTTTCAGATTATTCAGCGTTAGAAAATTGATTTCGTTGAAAAATATTTATTTATAAATTATATAAATCTACTCATACTCCGGATTAATTGTTCTTAATTAATTATAATTACTCTATAAATATAATTACCTGAAACCAAATTATGCATTTAAATAAAAAAATGCATGGATTTATTGCCTTTAATACTTACTTTAGGTCTTGGCCTCAGATTGGTTGATTATGAAATGTATATAAAAATAGCGATCTGTATTGCGAGATTAATGACAGCCTAACCTAGTTCATTATTAAAAATAACAAATTAAGTAAATATTTATTTATCATAACACAATAAATTCATATTAGACAAAAATATCAATTTTTACGAATATCGATTTTGACTTTTGATCATTATTCTCATTTATAGTATAAATTTAATACTTAAATTTTTTCAATGTTATGAGAGTAAACTCATAAATGCAAAACGAAAACAATCACTTATAAAAGATGACATTTCGCTGGTGTAGTATATGATTGCACACAATAAACTTATACCGTCATAATAATTATATATCTCATAAGTTAATAGATTATGAGGTTAAAAAGGCAATTATTCTCGAGTCAACAAACGTAAACAGATATATGTATATATGCAGCATAATAATGAGAGTAATTTTGTTGTGACACTGTTACAAGAGCTATTACTGTATTGAAGATACTCAAATAAAACTATAAAGAAACAAATAAAGATGAACCCAAAAAGAAAAATCTAATATTGAAATCTATTAGCTTTGAAAACAATATCTACGCAGAATATATTTTGGACATTTATGTAATAATAATTATGCATAAAAAAATAATATGAAGTAATGTTGCCTATAAATTAACAAATTTTCGAAAAACTATTAACTCTACAGTATTATTTGCTCATCTCAGATAACTGACTGTTTTTGTTTTTCATGTAAGGGTTTTACACGCACAATTTTATTTACAGTCATAGAGAGTTCATCTAATAATAGTACTACATGCTTACTTCGTTGCAAAATTCGGAGTACAAGCACAATCAGCTTGTTTAGTTAAAAATAAATAAATAAATAAAAAGAAAAAAACACAAGAGCTTGTATAGTTCTTTATAGAAACAACTCAAAAAAATAATCGGAGCAACACTTTCATATTTACTGTACTTAATTTATTGAATATATATATCGTATTTTCGCAAATTGTATGATTAAACAAACGAAGTTTTCATATGACTATGCATTTGTTTCAGAATCTGCAAAGCTAGAATATTTATGCTCGAACGCCAAAAAGAGGCAACAAGAAAACATGCCTTTTTCAAAAAAACCTCATCATCGACTGAAGAATCAGCAGAATTTGTATAGATTAAAAAATAGTTTTTTAATAAAAAGTAAAAGCCACTCGCTGGAAGAATAAGTAAAGTAGATAAAGAATTCCCAAAAATAGCGATTCTATAATAATTATTATGAAAATCTAAAAGCAAGAAAAGAAAATGAGCGGAGAAAACCCTTCCGAAGGCCGAAAATGGTAAAAGCGCTGTAGGTTGAGTCGCGATATATACTTTGCTGATACTTGGTTTGCGGACGGAGCGTGCCTCCTTCTGCCTATTCACCATCAGCTCCTCGGTCGCGGGGAGTGCAGGGGGCTGCGGCCCCGTAGTGGGGCTCCCTTCTTATAAAAAACGCCAAGGTAATACGCTATTTTCTGCATTCTCTTTTTAATTCTTTGTCATTCTTCATTATCCGTATATTTACTTATCTATTTATTTTAGTTTTGTAAAACTTCTTTCTGCAACTGCATTTATCAACGTTGCTTTTTTGATATTGTACTGGTTTCTTCTTGTTGTGATCATTTATCCTGCAGTGCAGTCTGATCTGGGGCAGTGTTACGTCAGCTCGACTCTGAGCTGAGAATGGAATAACTAGGAACGGGAACGCGCAAGCTATTCGGTCAATCGTGATTGTCAAGCTAAAAGCCCTATGAGTGTAGGGCAGTTCATTCATTTACTAATTCTAAATTAAAAGAAATAAAGATGTCATGGGCAGGTGGAACTGGCGCGTCAGGCTCTACATTCAAACTCCGTCGCAGTGAGTCCAATAGATTCGAGAGATCTATACAACAAATACTAGCCTATACTGTATAGTATATATAATTTTAATCAATATCCTTAGTGAAACATACCTTCATCAAAATCCATTCATTGATTTGTCAGTTAAGGGACGACAGTCTTGTCAATATTCGACCATGTACATATATTGCATTCTACGAAACATTTTAGAATCATTTACTTCAGTTACCATTCACCAATATCCCCTTCCTCTCCTCCATTCAATTTCAATCAACAATTTTAAAGGCTTTTAAAGGTAGTAAAATGTGCCACATTTTTTCAAATTACAAAGCTATAGCGCAACTTATCTTCAGTCCGATAGTTTATACTTACCACGTGAAATACATACCATTTGATAACATTAATCAAATTCAATGTTCAACAGTCATTTAAAACTCTTACTTCTATGACAACGACCCCAGTTCAGACTGTATTATATTTTTCACTATAGAAACTAAAGCTAGTTCTATCATGAAATCAAAAAATTAGAAATCTTATAAATAAGATCATATTGAAAAACGTAAATGCTACGCTCTTAAACAAGAGCGCACAGTTTCATATAGATCATTCCAAATAATAATTGAAGTTATATGCAATCTTTTCTAATAAGCTTACTTGATATACCTTGTAGATTGCAGTTTTTAGTATTATTAATTATTTAACGAATTTGAAATGAGTTAGTAAAACGCCCGCTTATGTAACGTTCACAAAGAAGAATGTTTTTTTATAATCGTATCAATGCTGACGCAATGGATATACCAGTTGCACCAGTTTGTTGGGAAGTTAGGTAATAACTATTGTGACAATTATAATTTCGTAATATAGTTTTCTGAATGGACATGTAAAAAATGAATGTGTAAAGAATTATATGTCAAATATGTATATGTCATAAGTAATAAGCATTTTTAGATATTTTGCCCGGATATTAAATACAATATCGATATTGCTAACTTCTGGCAAAAAGAACGCCAACACCCGTCTGTTTATCTCAAGTCTCATTTTTATACGTTGTTGTCAATGCAAATTGTAATTTAGTTATATAAATACAAAATACACTGCATATTTAGTGAACTATTTTTTAATACTGAGTAAACTTTATTTGAGAATTCCCTTCTTAACTACAGTAAAAATTCTTTAAATAACTATATATATTGTATTTATATTACTTATTGCAACAAATTAGAAACTTTTGAGAAGACAGATTAATTAGTTATTTTGTCTTTCAAAGAATAGTATATATTTATATATATCTGTTATTTTACAATTTTATTTATTATAATTTTGTTTGCCACTTGATTTTTTCCACTGTAATTAATTAAATATAATTCTCTAAAAATATTATGTACCCTGCATTTACACAAATTATTTATTAGCATTATACAGGGTGTTCCAAAAGTATCAACACACCTGAATATCTCGAAAAATAAGGATGTTAGAAAAAAACTTATTGCTTACGACAAATGCAGATTACGCATACTTTGACAAATAAAAAAGAACTTTGAAAAATCTTTATACTCGAGTTTGAAATCCTCCTGTGATAGAACTACCTTAATCCATTTTATGAAACCTGGGAATACCATAGTGTAGCTGGTACTCTGCTCTAAAAATTGAATTTTACTTAAAATTTGTGCTATTGCATGAGGAATAGTTAAGATATTTTATTTTGAATTGTTAAATACGACTATTCCCAGGTTCAAAGATTGTATATATAGATATAAACAATAATTAATATCTCACACTAAAATATTACATCTCTCTTAAGTTATTAGTAAAATAAACTAATTTTATCAGTAGTTTCATAACTTTTTTGTGTGATAACAGTCAATATTTTTCATTCATACAATTTTTTTTATTTAAGTAATATGAATTCAAAGAAAAAACATTTGTACACAATAACTTGACTACATAAAATATCTAAGAGATTTTCATATCTTTTAAATGACTCGAAAGGATTTTTTTTTCATGTATATGAATTTAATAAAATTAATCAAATTGATAGAGCTAGAAGCAAATTTCTGTTTCCGTTCTATACATCAAGGTAAATAGCTTACGAAGCGATACTCTAGGGTGTGCGGACAAATTGCACGGTTTTATTATACACACAAATTATTGTGCACAGTAACATTGCATAAGAATGGATACTCACTGATTTGTGCCATATTATTGTACACAATAGTTTATGTGTACAAGAAAACCGTGCACAATTGTTCGCAGGCCTATTCCAGCACGTAACTCGCAGAGTAAAACTTTGAACTGATGCAGTGGTAGTTAACACAGGCCAACATTTTTCAGAACTAGAGATCAGAGATAAAAGTATCCGAATGAATTTGGCGTGTTGATTTTCAAATCCAGACTCAGAATTACTCCATCACCCTAGGTTTTTAAAATATCATAATCTAAAAGTGCAAAAACACACTGTTTTTCACAGTTTTTAAGCTTTCCTTACATAGTAAATTTTCATTCTATTAAAAATCTTGAAATAGCATTGGAAAGAGCAAATCTTCTACTTTAGAAAGCACTGCTTAATTTTTTAAACCGATTATTACAACTAGAGATATTGTTCATTAAGTAGAAACTTTACGTTTCAAGTGTACACATAATATATGAGTAAAGTTTTCCCGAAATGAACTAACAGACCAAAGCTTCATTTTTTGTCTCTTAATCTGAATTTATCAGATTAGAGTACTTCTAAGCCCGGATTCCACTTTATTCGCCTAATTCCTCTGATTATACTATGTGTGACCTCTGGTTTCGGATTTTTCGAAATTTTGTAGACCTATGTAATTCCTTTACATTTTTTTTATGGGAAACTATTTATTAGCCGGTCACCTGTTATACTGCCTCAGCTTATTTCTATCAGCAGTCTATTAAATTATTTTCTTGAAAACAATTGGAATGGCTCATGTAGCAATTATTTATAATATATAATTACGTCTGTAACTTTTTTATTTATATTCCTAGAGTTTTAGTACTAATTATTATTTTTTACTTATTAATAAGGTAGCAGTATAGCTCTGAGTTCAATTGTTTTTTATTTTTAGCTAGATTAATCTTCATTGCTTATTGTTAGCTATATGTAATTGTTAACTACATTTAATTTATAAAAACTTGATGCTTTGTTAACATCTTCTGACCGGCACCATGAACGCACAAATAAAAAAATTTTGTTTTTCATGGATCCATTGTTTTTTTATGCTAAAAATTTTAAATATAAAGGAATATATGGTTTAGTGGATATATTTTCTTATAAAAATGTGTGTCTACACATTTGAACACTACTACTAGTTGGAAAGAAAAATTCAATATCTGTCCACATATATCAACACAGGTCAAAAGCGATTAATTGAAAAATTAAGTTGTGTTTCTGATAATTATTCTAATCTCAATCAGTTGCTTGACATTCAAGGCGAAAAAAAATTAACAGATATTAAATAATTATAAAAGAAAATTTTTTCGTGATAATATCATTAAACAAAATTTATAATACATTATAAATTTATAAGTATATTATCTAATTAGTGCGGGAAAATAGATTGTTGTCCCGTATGAGGTTTACGCCCGAGGAAAGCGAGGGTACAAAGATACATGAGAAGAAAATCTTCTTCTCGAACATGTTAGATACAATATTTTTCAAAATAATCCGTGGAAAGTTTTTCTTGATTTATGTTTTTCTATAAAGGTTCTATCTTAAAAACAACTTACCGCTAATAAATTGGCCAAACTTTTCAAGAATTAAATGATTTAATATCTCAATCGAGGTAATCCAGTCATGACTTTGATTAAATTTTCGAAGATAATAGCTAAGAAAGTACGCAAAAATTGACATACAGAAATTTGCTTGTAGTGCATTCTTAAAACTGTAATATTATTATTGCGGCAATTTTCTGTGATTGTCAGTTTAAACTCTAAAATCTCTAGCTTAATCAATAAAATATATGAAATCATTTATAAAATTATATATAGAAATTTTTGAAGTATAACATATATGCTAATATTTTAAAGTACATGTTGCATACAAGCAACGCAGAGGGTCATAAGAACCCTTTTAGACGTACAATTGTGAAGAGACCAAGGCATTGCGAGGCTGTTCAAAAGACAAATGGTAAAATATTAGGTTTTCTCATTATATCGGGTGAAAGTAAAACTCGTGGATGATATATATAATTAAAAAAAAGTCATAACGATAAAATTTTCTAGGGCTTATACAATTTTTCAAAAGATTTCTTTTCGCTTTCATTTCTATTTATTTTTTCTTTTATCTATTTATTGTTCGCTTAATGTCTATTTATTTTCTTGGTTAACATATAAAATTTAATCTAGAGTTAGTATACGCAGTTTATGAAGCATTTTGATTAGAAAGGCAGTATTAATAACTATGCTTCAAAATCCATATGTAAAGCATCTTCTTCTTGCACATAAACCATTCACCAGTTTTTCATTCTTCCATTTGAGAGTACGTAGAAATAATATTGTCGCTGTAATTAGTCAAAAGGATCAAATGAATCTTACTGTTACTAAGAATAAACGATTAGCCAATAATGTTTGGATAATAAATTTGAGCCTTTTATCGTTGAAAATTAGTGAGAATTACAAAATGCCAAAGCCACATTTAAAAATCCTCAAGCATATCAATAAAGATGCAGTAAATAAGTCTTTAATTGGTTCAAAATGTAAAACAACGATGAATATGAATGACGTAGATGGAGTCAAGATGGAACCACTTTACTAATTTTTTATGTAGTCTCATATTGATCATCCTTCAACTACTTACTAGCTAAGAATTGTCTAATGTGTACTTTTCTAAAGAGAAAGACGATCACATAATATATTACAATTTTGTGTTTAATTATTTTAGAATAGCTTAAATCACAATATTTACCCGAGAGAAAAGGCAGATTGTAATGTTACCGAACGAACATCGTACCCCGTACATACTTCATCAATATTGGGTATATAATATCGATCGATAGAGTTTTATATTTTCTAGTCCTACATTGGGTCCAATTACCTTATTTTAAATTAACTGTAAAACATTTAGAGATTTTTTCTATCCCCGTGGTGACTTTCTCGAGACTGATAAAGGACATGCGCTTTTACTCTATTTAATTTCGAATAATCTTGTTTATTTTTCTTAGCGCTAAAAACAGATTAGCTAACATCTTAGCCAGATTTTAGATTTTTTGAATGTATAAATTCTCAACAATAGTCGAAAGTTTAAAACAGTTTAAGAGAGTCCGATGTAATGTAATGTTTGTTCAGAAGATCTTTTCTGAGAACTTAAATTGCCAACTCTACATCAACTGTGTAAGTCCTAAAAAAGGTATTATGACTTCAGTAGAATATTGCTTCCTTAAAGAGAAAGCTTTGGTTTTGTGAAAATTTTCATGTTCGCTTTTTGATGTTTCTTTGTATTAGATATCATGTAAATCCTAAATATAAAGCTTTTTCGTGATACGTCCAGGTATGTGTGTGACGCGTGAATATAGTCAATCAATCGTTGTGGTGGCCTCGTTTAAGAAACCGTCATAATTTCTATTCTAAATTCTTACAAACTGAGATGGTTAAGGAATAAAATAATAATCGTCGTTTCGTCAACATGAAGTTACTACTGAAAATTTCATGTAATCGTATTAAAATGTTTATTAATCGTTGTGATGGTGCTGTTTGAGGTGTAAATTGACAATTTTTGTGATTTTGCGAGAGTAGAAATGGAACAATTTTGATAGATCGTTTAAGTAAACATTGTTTTCAAATATCCATTTTAAAAGATGTAAAAATTTTATTGAAAATTTCAAGTTTCCGAGTTAAAAAGAGTACAGTTGTTACATCTGTTACGTTTGAGAAATTGTCAGGAATCATATTTTAAACTCGTTGTTTTATATTTTGAACTGGTTTAATGCTGAAAGGTGTATCAATCACTATGGCAATGCTGTTCATGTAAATTCCTCAAAGACTTTCATTAACACTTGCTAATTTGTATGAATTGTAGGAAAACAAATTTTATGAACCTCTACTATGATAAAATTAGTTCTCCTCTCAGTGGTAATAGTAATATCATCGAAAAGAAAAGCCATAATTCATTTTGCACGTCAAGAAAACACTTTGCTCCGTGTTTTGCTTGTACCTCTTTACATTAGCACGTAGTATTTCTTAATTTTGCTAAACGCACGCCTGTGTGTATATAGATTGTCTGAAGTTAGTAATAGAAATATATTTCAAACGAGATTTTTTTTTCTAAATAATGAACTTACATAGCATAAAGCTCATAATGACTGTACAATAATATATAACGATATGCTTGAGGAAAAAGGATTTTGAAAGCAAACGATCGTTGCTTAATATTTTAAGCTTAGCTTTAGTTGTTTTAATTGAAAAGTGGAAGGGGGAGATGCATGCATGTTTAAAATGCGCTAGATTACTAATTCAAATTTCTTTTACGTATAAGATACTCAATTTAATGCTAAGAGTATCAAAATGGGGCTTTGGCTCAGAGCTAAGGCACAATTGGAGAGTGACAGAGAGAGAGAGAGAGAGAGAGAGAGAGAGAGACGGAGAGAGAGACAGACAGACAGACAGACAGACAGAGAAACTAATCAACGTGACTACTATTGTTGCGGACTGAAAAGCAGGTGGTGGTGGATCATGGAGTCGTGGGGGTCGAGGCCGGGCGAACCGTGGGCGGGTCCAGAGCCAAGGCCTGCTTGGTTGCGTGGGTGGTGGACCTGCCAGCAGTGGTACGAATCATCTGCAGCAGCAGCAACAGCAGCAGCTACCCGTGGCAGCGGGCCTGCGAGAGGTGGTCAACATTTTGGGCGAACGCAACCAGGCGGGCACCCTCACCGGGGTCGGCCCACCGCCTGGCTTCCTGGAGGAACAAGCCGCCCAAGAAGAGGAGGAAATGAAACGACGCCCACCTAAGCCACTGCTCAGGCGGCTTATCACCTACGTACGGCAGGCCTGGACTGGTGTCAAATTTTCTCTCGGTGAGCCAGTCTAGTCTTTTTATAATTTATAACAGAACTAAATGAATTAATTTTCGTTATCTGGTATTAAATCCGCTGCTTGATATTTTATCTTCGTTTTTACTAGCATCCCAACTGTCGGAAAGCACTGTAGTCGATACACCGGCATTACGATTTACTTAAGTAGTACCTGCCTTATAGTAGGCATTTACTTCGTTTTCATGTAAGAAGGGAACTATCTCTCCAAGTTAAGATAATCTCTAACTTGATTAAACACGTGAATGAATAGTACTTACGTACCCATAGTCAAGTTTTATAATCAAGACCCCACATACTTATGGCGCCTGTGATATTTTGTTGTTGCACTCGTATTTTTCCTTGAGAATTCGTATGAGGGAAACCGAATTGTCGATTCGTTGATTCGGTAACTAATCTGTAAATAATCCTTATTGATATACAATGATAATATACTACATATCAAGGACGGGAATACATTGGCAAGACTATAGCACGTGAAATGATATACAATAACTATAGGATATGCCAGATCGTCTCTCGACGATGTGGCTCAATAAGGCTCAAAGGCTCAGATTTGCACTCGCATACATGGGTCTCAGAATGATAACCGTCTAGGTAATAACCATCTCTTTCGCTCTTCCAAGGATAGGCATAGCCCTAATGGTAGTCACTCACATACCTTATTCGAGCATGTACGCGGTGGTAATATATACTAGTACTCGCGGTCAATCGAGTGGCCGTCAGCAACCATTAATAACCGCTTGCAGAGACATTTATTTTGTCAAAACGAACAAGTTCTTATTCATTTGCTTTCATGATTAATGATCGTCGTAAACCGGTTGAGGTCAAATGAGGGCTTTCGGAAAATCCGTTTTTCCAATGTCAAGCTCAAGTTTTATCCTCCCATTATGCACTGTTCCCAGGAGCTCGATCACTCGGCAAAAGAACAATCCCTCGGGGCTGACATGTGCACTTGCAGTGACATATTCACAGCTCGATTTGCCTTCTAGATTTAGATTCAAAAATTGCGCGTGCAAGGAAGATCTAGAATTGGAGACAGTAGCCGAGTGGTCGATCCTCTTTTGGCGAAAAAATTTGAAAAAGTCCTCCTCATGATGATTGATACAAAGGGTTGATTAAGAATTAATTTTGCAGCCAAAGGAGAACGAATGCCCTGTCGACAGCAGCACTGCTTTTTCAAATATTTCTGTGGATATTATAAGCAACGGCTAATTCTCGAAAATCCATTGGCTGTCAGCAGATTCGGAGTACGAAGAGGAGCAGATACCGCGCTACAGACCGGACTCACTCAGGAGCTTATGCAGGGCGACTCGTTTCAATGAGGCTGAAATGAAGCGCATCTACCGGGGTTTCAAGGCCCAATGCCCGACGGGTGTTGTGCGCGAGGACACCTTCAAGCTCATCTACTCCCAATTTTTTCCACAAGGAGGTTAGTCCTTTTCGATTATTACACGTCAATCATCTCTAGATCTAACCGGCAGAGGCTGCCAAAGAGGCTTCAACTTCTTCCTCGCTATGTCTATTTATATATTATAATGCGGAGTTGCTTCCATTCTTTACGTTGATACGCGACATTAACTCAACTCATTAACTTGATCAAATAATCGATTTCCATACATCTACATCCTCCATCAAAGCCATCATACGTGCATCTCAAAGTATTTATCATTGTCATCGATGACATTCTCGAACTTATTATATCATCAATATTCGTAAAGATTATTTATCTGCTCCACGTTTATCCAATTATGGCCCGGAACTCACTGCGCAATATCTGAGTGGATCTGAGTGGATGGGTAAGCGGGAGAGTATTTCAAGGACAATAAGACAATGGCATAGCATTGTGCGGGGCCAGTGCCATAGGACAAGGACAGACGGAAAATGAGAGAGGAAGAGAACTAAAGAACACAGCAGACGAATAGCAAAGAGATAAATAAAGAAATATACTATTAACTAGCGCCTATAGGCATAGTCGACGTGGTATGGCACTTTCTTTTCAGATTCGATTCTTTCGCGCTTCACGAATAAATAGTCGCACGCTATATAAGTTACCTAACCGACTGAATACTTGCGAACGATTATTCAAGTTTTCTTCAGCTGCTCGGTCAACAAATGAATTGAATGCAAGCTAAAATGCACGTAGAAGCTGACCGGGAGCTTTCGTCTGCCTTTATTAGATCAGCTATAGCCAGTGAAGAAATAAAGTTGCTTTACGACTTTGCTGAAAGAAGGAGAATTAAACAACGAAGAAAGTCAGCGAGTCAGAAAGAAAGTGGGGGAGAGAGAGAGAGAGAGCCGAGGAAAAAATCGAAGGGGGCGGGGGTGAGAAGGAGATGACGGAGCAAGGCCAAGAAAAATGCCGCGAGCCATAGATAAGGGTCGCTAAGGGCTGGCAGCTGTGCGCTCGACTGTTAGCACTATTACGGAGCTTTAATGGGATTTCAGTTGGTCGGCCGCGGCCGGGTTCGCTACAAATTGTAAAGCTGCGATGAAACTCGTGGCCGCGAGCACCTCCACTCGTCCGCTTCCCCGCACGCGTAATTCAAGGATGGCTACTGAACGATTGGAAATGTTGTGTGCGTGTTACAGCCAATAGCAGCCAGTACGCGCACTACGTGTTCAACACGCTCGATCAAGACCACAGCGGAATCCTGAGCTTCGAGGTGAGTGCTCGTCGTTTATCAATTGGCACAGCTCGCTGTCACCCGCAGAGCACGAGCACCTAGCTGCTTCTGCATTCCATTTTCAAGGAGCTTCTGCGTCGACATCGCCACAGTAGACTCGCTCGCGCTGCGTTTCCGCGTTGCCGTCATCGGCGTGGTGCATCGAGCGAGCTCTGCCGCGGCCTCGCTGCTCGTTCGCACGACGCGTCGTCCCTCGTTCTTTCTCTCATCGCTGCGCGTCGCTACGTCGATTCGCGCACCTGCGGGCACGCTGTGCGACGTCAATACAACGACAATTGCGTAGCCAATTTTTCTTGCGCCTACTCCCAGCAAAGCCTCGTCTTTCGTTGGCTTTGCAGCGTCTCAAGCGCTGATGCTCGACGAGTCTCCGCTGGCAGTGCCCATGCTGTTGCGGAATGCGCATTCGACACGTCGATTATCAATAAGCACGCGATTCGACTGGATCGAACAAGTGCGCGCGTCGATTGATTCAGCAGCGCCCGCGAACAGAGTCACCAAGGAGTGAGATTCTCGCGTGAAGAAGCAACGGGCGGAAACAGGAAGCCACCACGGTGGTAGGAGTCTGTGAAACAGTTTTATAACGCGTTGGCTTGCGGAAGCGACAAGCGGGAAAGACTGCTCTGGAACAATGGTCAGCTAATGGCTTAGTTTGTGAGTCACAGCTGCAAGTTCGAGCTTTACAAATAGAGTCTTTCAATGCTGACATCACCGACAAATGTCGCGCATACTTGTGCACAGCACTTCAATTTTTATTCTTGCTTGCTTTTCATCGTCAAACAAATATTAAACAGCATGCTTTATTACGTCCAGTCAATCGTTCCAGGCCCTTCTCCATTCGAACGCGCTAGAAATTAATTTTCATTTCGATAACAAGTGATCTTTCCTTATTATATCAATGACTTCTGATGCTTGGATAATTGTGAATTATTAAATTTTTCACTTCCTCACTGCAGTCTAAGTAAATAATAAGCATCATTTTTCGATTATAGCGACAGTATCTTTTCATAATTATGCATAATTTTGATATACATATTCACTATGTTGTTACAAAACAAAATGTTAGCTTTGAAATGATTGAATATATTGGTAAAGCTGGTTGCTTGGAGTAAATGTAAAAAATAACGAAATAGTCAAGCTGTTAGTAAATTTAATAAAAGTACTTGTAAGATAACTTAACGTATTCGTGTGATTGTTAATTATTTTATATATAAGTAGCCGCTGCCAACTGATTTGATAGTAATTGTTGTCGCATTGCCGCGCGCGCTATCAATCGGCTCTGGCGTCGCGCGACAAATTCACACTTGGCGGATGGCCTTTCCCGTCCTTGGGCTCGTTCCTCGATTTGCCGCCCGCGCCGTCACCGATAATATATCAGCGTCTGCTGCAAGCTCCCTCCCTCTGTCCTAGCTTTGTGGCGCAGCCTCGAGCGATCTTCAATTGACCAATATAAGACCTTGCCGAACTCGCGCATACTTGACGCTCACCTAGCCCGTGCACGGCTGACTGCGCAACTAGCTCCATCCTCGAAGCAATTTAGGCTGCGGCGAAACCCTCTCGATACCTCGATACCGCAGCTCGAATAAACCTCGCGTTATTCTATATATATGTTTATACATATGCACATACGGTCGAACGTAGATGCATATGAATGACGTGACGAGCACACTCGAACCATTTCACTTCCACTGGCAATCAGAGAGGCAGGCTAGCTGGAGCCGAGGAACAGCGAGATGTATCGTCATAAACGGGTGGCTGGCGCAGAGCTTCGATCGGCAGCTCCTCGTTGTATAAACTCTTGCCGCGAATGATTATCAAGGAAACGAGGCAAGTTAGGGGAGGATCGACGCGCGGGAGCGGCCGGGTCTTCGTCATTTGAATGTTCATGCATCGTAAAGCCCCTACGATACTGTATTTGCATATTCGGAGCCCGAGAGACGACAGCTAAAAATAATGTTAACGATATGTAAATGGATTAATTAGCCGTCGGCCGCTTTGCATGAGAATCGTCCGCGATCCGCTACACGTAGATGTGTGGCTATTGCACGCTGCTCGTACACCTCATCAACGTGAGCTTCACGTGACGTGGGTTTGCGTGGATGCGCGACGTGCTTGCAGGACTTCGTGGTGGGCTTGAGCATACTATCGCGCGGATCCATGGACGAAAAGCTTCGCTGGACGTTCTCGCTGTACGACATCAACGGCGACGGCTACATCACGCGCGACGAGATGACCGACATCGTCACTGCCGTCTACGAGCTGATGGGCAAGTTCGCCGACCCAAACCTCAGTCACAGCCATGACGGCGTACGTCAGAAAGTCGACCGAATGTTTCAGGTAGGCTTTACTTACATTCGCCACTCGACCCACATTGCCAAATTCGCCGCACTAACTTTTTCACTCTCGTTATCAGCGCGCTAAAAGTGCCCTCCAGTCGGGAGCCTCGCTCGCTGGCTCTTGACCCAAAGAATCTGTTGCGCAAAAAACTGACTAATTAAAGCCAGACGCTAAGATAGCGTAGCAAAAGAGCGAGAGAGCGTGAGAGAGACGAGCCGCTGTGCCAAGCTACTGGCTTCCTTCTTTACCCAACGTTCGAGCTCGACACTCGTACTCGATAAGCATTGTTCTGCCAGGTTCTGCCAAACTTTTAACCATACGTTTCACCATTATTGTAATCTATCCAACTTGTTTTTGTTTTTCGAGTTCTCGTTCGCCCATCGATGTATTTTACATGTCCGACTACATTTCGATTTCGACTTCGGATGCGCTTCAGCCATGCGGTCTTGTGGCATTTTGCTCTTACCATCAAATAATCAAAGAGATAACAGAACTTTCAAAAGGCTTTAAATCAGCTCCGACCACGAAATCTGCAGTTTCACTGAATTTCCTTCAAGCAAACGTGTACTATTTAAGCTACTTAATATATTCAAACTAGAATATACCATTCGGCTCATCGTCTTTTACTCTTCTGAAAATACTTACCAGAAATTCCTTCCAGCTAAAGTATTGGCTATTCCAGATAAAGTATATATGTATAAGTTAGTTGTTCCAATACCATAGAAAATAAATTGCTTTTCGTGTTTCTTAATGAATGTTTATTCATAAATATTTCAACGATCTCTAAAATGCACGAGTAAATTAGGCAGGTACTGATCGAGCTTCTTTTGTATTCATAAAGAACATCACAATTATGAGAAATTATAAAATCTATGCATAATCTTACACGCAAATTAAGCAATACTTACCCCTGTAGGAATAACGCCAGAGGCAATAATGGTCTTATAATTTTTTTGATCATTTTAAATAATCACAAGAATGAAACATTGTTACATTGTTATTTGTATGTGTCACACACTGTTATATCTTTATGATTTAGGTATATGTATACACATTTTTGTAACAGCCTTACATACCTGAAAAAAGACTATTAGTTGAAAGCGCAATAGCTTAAGCTACATTTTATCAAATTAATCGTTAATCACGCAACAACTGATTTGAAAGCTGCTTTCATAAAATTTTCCATTCTTAATCACAAATTTACGCTTAAAGTTCTATATTAAGTCTATATATCTTATTGTTGCTCAATATTCTCTCTCACTCTCTTTCCTTTGCTCTAATTCTACTCTACATAATCTAGTATACAACTAATAGAAAACAAATTTTCACAACGATAGAACATACTCACAAAAGATCCATATCAAATTTTGAAATGTGAAAACGATAAATGCCATGTTTGTAATTTTTACACACTTTAACATAATCACAGCGAACAAAACAATTTTGATCCATGTGACAGCTTAAGAGAAATAATCCTACCATTTTAATTACTTTAACTTAGATGAGCTTATTATTTGAAACATGAAAAATCATACTAAAGATAAAGTCGAAGCGGACGACGTTCTTGACTGTTTTATCACAAGTATGCAATTATTAGCTGATGAATTTAATTATATTAATAATAAAGAATTGTTAGCAAATTAATGTTTTTTCAATTTCCTATCAAAAATAGTTATATATTAAATACCATATACGACTAATTGATTTGAAAGTCATTAGCACCTTAATTGCAACTACGAGTAGATGGCGATTTCTAATATGCGAGCAAATGAAACTATCACCGCTTACAAGAAAGTGGTTTTGCAAAATCACATATGTATAATATGCCTGTTATGTTACATATATACACAATTAAGGGTCAATTGTGAATCTTAGGTTAGATAGCAAACAATTTATTACTGTAAATTAAGTATTGTCATTTTTGAGTAAAGAATGTAATAACATAGTTAATTGAGTATATTTTTATTTGAAATCTGTACCAGTAAAAATTGTTTTGTATTACGCAAATTTTGTTATAATTTGCTATTAATATCTTTTATGGCATAAAATAATTTTTCTAAAAATTTTTCAGTAAAATTTATTTAGGTAGCTAATAAATTTTACTATATCGGATAGTACATTTAATTACGTTCCTCAGTAAACTTTGTTATTCAAAATTTTACTACGGAACATAGTAAATTTACCTATAAAACAAGAATGTTACTCTTTTACTATGTTTTATTATAGTTTTAGCTACAATTTTAATAAAGTTTGTGATGTTATTTCTCTCAGTGTTGAAGTAATAACAATTATTATTAGTTTAAAACGTATGGATCATTGAATAAATTAAAATTCAGAATTGCAAATTTAATGCATATATTTAGTTGTAATTAATAATAAATTATATGTTTGAAAATGAATATGTAGTAATAAAATATAATGCGCAATAAAATCTTGAATTCGGATTACAAGTTACAAGATAACGAGTAACGAAGGGAGGGTTCATAATCTGTTTCCACCGTTTAATTAAATATTGTCAAGTTAAGGCGGTAGCAGTTATATTAAGATTAAGTGTGTTGTTTCAGTAAAATTGACGTTGATAATTTAAAAATAATTTTTCCGAGACTTTTTACCTGCATGTGTGTGTGTGCGTGCGTACGTGCACGTGTTTGGGGTTATCGGAGCTGGATTTTGACAGAATCGGACCTTTTTTCAAGTTTTATAAAAATAATAAAGTTACATGATTTATGGTGCGATGAAAGCAGAGCTCAAAGCCAATAAAAGTAGACTGGACTGGAGTTATGACTTTCAAGCAGCTGCGTGTTGTTTTTTTATTATTGTTTACTAGATATGCAGATCGGATATTTATAAGATACGGTCAGCTGTGACGAGTATGCTGCCTGGTGCACGCGCGAATGAAAGAGTGTATGTAAGCGCGTGTGTATGAGAGAGAGAGAGAGAGAGAGAGAGAGAGAGAGAGAGAGAGAGAGAGAGAGAGAGAGAAGGAAAGTAGCATTATCGATCGGTAGCATTGTCTCCCGCCACTGGCCGCTCCCTTTGCTCACCCCTCTCTCTCACACATACACATATACCACCATCCACAGCTCTCTCACGCACCGCTAAGAAGATTCCCGGGCAGCTCACAGCCACGTTTCATCCCCTCTTCATTCGCCCTCCAGCTCTGCCCATCTCTTATCGCGTGCCATCCGAAAGCAACAGCTGGAGCTCATTCAAAAATCTATCTACTGTAACTCATATTCGCGAAATCAGTACATTTATAAACTTTTGCAACTAATTTTCATTAATAGATTTACTCGTTCTTGATTCTAGCTTATTTCTTAAAACCAAACATTTATCAACGCGTTCATGAACACGTCGTTTCTAAACATGCGTCAGCTGTGCATATGATTTCGACTACATCAGGCTCCATTTCGAATCAAAGTTAAACTCCCGAAAAATTTTTTAGCCAATACGTATCAGCAGTTTAGCCTGTAAATGTTCTTGATAGAATCTATCAATATTTCTTCTATAATTGTTGAATTCGATATTTGAATATTTCTCGATCGATTCTTTTTCTGATACTATTGCTTGATCCCTCACTATTTGACTTCAGGAGCCGAGTGCTAGTCAATCGTAATCTTTCACTCCTGGGACCATAACCTACATTTTAGTTTTTCGTATTGTCATTGGCTCATTTTTGGATCAAATTTTTTGCTTGGCTTCGAAGATCTCAATTTGCCAATAAAAAATATCGCAAACACCGTCATCAACGTATTTAATTTCTGGTAATAATTTAGGTATTAAAATAATGCGCTTAAAATTAAACAACCAACAAATTTAAGATTAACGTATATAGCTTCAATTCAATGCTATTCCAATAATTCAATACTAGGTGAAGTATAATAAAAATGAGAAAAATAATGACGCAAATATTACTAATTACACCAAAATAACAGACAAAGATACAAGAGCGAAAAATAAATTTCGGGCAAAAACGCCCGTGCGATGATGAAATGTCATTAGATATTTTTCGACACTCCACACATGTGAAAGGGTTCTAGTTACACACTCGGGAAAGCAAGCGAGCTTCAAATTTCGTGGTATCAAAAAATGAAGTAAAGTACATGTACGATAAAATAATTTTATCTTCGTGTAACCTCTTCACTCTCACTTTGCTCGAGCGACGAGGTTCATACGAGGCTCAAATCACTTTCTCACACTATTATCGAAATGTACTATTTCGATATAATACCTTTCAACCAAGTATTTATGAAGTACTCATAATAAGCAAAGATCTATATCAAATGTGTTATACATAACTTAATCAATAAAACTAATTAAAATAATATAATTAAATTAAAAACATAATCATAATCTTAAAATCTTAAACCGATAAAAACTAGGATGGTGGTTGAATCGTCCATTTTTGTTTTATTTTTGTTTTATTCGTTACCTGTGTTTTATTTTTCAGCCTATATTTACAAGAAAAAAATATTTTGCAGTCACACGAAAATGGTCGTTTGAGCATCGAATTGTGTAGTATTTTAGTCTTATTTTTTCATATTTAGCTCCGCAGTTTGAAAAATAATAATTTAAGCAAAAAAAAGCTTAAGATAAAAGTTGTTCCTTAATAAATTATCTATAAAAAATAGACTTTTTTATAGATAATTTATTAATAAGTAATCATAATATACTATTTTGAATGCACATTTTTGGCCGAGCGTACGGAAAGGACGTACTTCCACACGGAGTATCAAACAAGCTTATTTATATTAATTTCTTTGTGCTCTCCCTGTCATAAAATTTTGATTTTTCTTTAAAATAAATTATATAAAGAATTCGTTGACAATAAATTTTTAACTACAACTACGTGGCGCAAATAAAATTTAATTGTAAGTGATATGTAGCATTGAGAACATAAAATGAGAACTTATGCGATTGTTTTGAAAAAATCGCACAGAGAGCAAAAAAAATACAATTCCTATAAGAAAACATTACAACGATGATATTGAAGCATCCAA